GATCCTTGAACTTCTCCTAGGTCCCTGCTACGTTCAGATGCGTGGGGGAGCTCAAGAGGGTCCTGGCCGATTGGCTATGGGGTGTGTCGCTCCATGCCAGGGATGGGTCACCTGGGAGGGCTGAACCAAACCGTAAAGGCCTGTGGAGACAGATGCCCTCATCCAGGTAAAGTCTTACATGCATTATCTAATTAAATCTTCACCACAGCCCTCAATGGTAGATTCTGCTACTGTTCCCATTTTATGGATAAGGAAACTGAGCCCACAACTATACCAGTCAGACAAATGCAGGCAGTGTCATCCTGACCTCTGCTCCTCATCACCACAGTTAGAGTCGAGGTTCCCGTGTGACACAGGCAGGTGGTGGAGGGGGGCAGGGGGTGATGAGAAAAGCCGCCGCCTCCCACTTCACTTCTCTCTTCCTGAAGCCATGATTGCATGGGCTGTCCTGGCACATGTAGGCGTCTGAAGAACACAGGAAATGGACAGACAGCTAGAGCATCCAGCTTCCTAAGTGGTATTTGGACGAGCACATGGGCTGGGACTTTAATGGGCAAAGCTTACCTCTGATCACTCCGCTGCTTTCTTCCCCATAAGTGTGTGAGTTCCTGCCAGGGCTCCTTTTCAGAGTGCACAGGGTCAGAGGGGCAGCTTTGGGTGCTAACCAGGAAACACACACTGTCTGAGGGAGCTAATTAGAGCACCCTACAACTTCACAAAGCTTTGCCTGAACAACTGACCACTCAGAGAGACTGGGTGCACAGAGATATTTGGCAGACCTGCAGCTCGGAGTTCTCGTACGTAAAGACGTAACACTGAGCTGCTTCCATTGTGGAGGGTTTTCATTCCTCAATCTATATTTGAGCTACTTGAACCCCTGGATCACTGCATCCAGGGAGCCCCTGAAGGCAGGATGCTGATATTATGAGCCTTGTCTTTTGATTTCAAATATGTTTGTTCCATCCAACCTAAGACCTGAGCATTCTGTAATCCAGCCGGGACCAAGATGCTGTTGCTTTTTAGGGGGTTAATAAGCCCTGTGCATTCAGTGGGGACTTGCTGGAATAAAGATTTTGCCCCAAGCCTGTTACAACACATTACAAATATGCCAAGTGCTCCTGAGCCAGTTGGGTCTCAGAAACAGCAAGAGGCATTCTCGACCTACATTCTGAAGTAACCCTGGAGGTAAATGTCTTTCACATTTTCTCAGATATTGGAACAACATGATAAAAATGATATTACTCACGTAAATAAGTAAAAAAGCAAATTAATGTAATTTATTTACTGTGCTCTTAAAAAATAATGACAGATAATCACTTGCAGGAAATTGGATATATAAAAATACACAAATTTCAAAATTGGTCAGTTAGTGTGTATTGATCGATTAACATGCAAGATGACCTTCACATTACAAAGGAATTTTCCGATTTATTTCTTAATGTCAGCTCTGTTAATTCTCTCATGACATTTGTTTGTGAATAGTTAACCTCTAGAGAGAGAAAATTGAAGAATATATCCATAAATATCCATGCATATTTATATTCATAAATGAACATCAGTAATTTTCAATGCCATAAAGTTTCAAGAATTAAATACTCGCATCTTTCAGAAACAAAGCTAATATGGCAAGGTGTTCCTGAACCTTCAACATCTGAGTCTATAACGGCAAGCCTTATGCCTTCATTTTTTTTCTAAGCCAAAGCCCAGATGCATCGAGTGACCAGAACCCTTTTCACAAGAATGCCAAATTATGTAATTTCTTTCTGTAGGAGTCTTATGGCCAATTTATTTTCCAGGTACTTATTGTTGGGCTTCCCTTTGATCCAGTTGGCCGCATAAAGCCAACGTTCAATTAGAGTGCCTTTGATTTCAGTGAGCCAAACCCAAAGTGTCACTGGGGTCATTTTGGCAAATTGCATGCTGCAGTTCTTAATGAAATCATATAACTACCCGGCATCGTTTAATAGAATAAAGACATCCTGAAAAAGCCAATGAGAAAATGCTAAGTGAATTTCTGGGTCATAAATAATACCCAGTGGCATGGCAATGTAATAATGCAAGGACATGCATATCATTTGGTAGATTTCCCAAGAATAAGGTCACTGTCCCTCTTGTCCTGGGAAGAAAATGTTAAGAAAAGTAAGAGCATTTGGGGAAATCTTAGTCTCATTTAAATTGTATGAGATGCATTTTTCAGTGCTTGTCTTGGGTTTTATTTATTTCTAGTGCTCTTATACCCTTGAGGAGTCCTTTCCTTCTATTATACTGGTTATTCTCTGTCAGTGGGTAAACTTGTTGGCGTTTACTAAGGTTCTGGGGTTTAATCACACATCCCTTCCATTGCCCTGTTACCATGGCAGCCAACTAATGGCAGCCCCCACTTGGCGCAGGGGGTCTTGCCAACCCCAGGCCCACACTTTCAGAGTCCAAGGCCTGGACAAAGAAGGCTGGATGGGCTACTGTGAGCCAATAGGAAAATAAGGAAAGTAGGGGATATTTTGAAGCAAAAGAAACAAGAATTTTCAGTTGTTTTAGATTCAGAAAGTGAGCCATGTGTTGTGCTAAAGATACATTATTAGGATTAAAATGCCTACTAGGCACCTCCTCTTGGATGTCCCCCAAGCACATCAGACTCAGCATGTCTGAAACCAAACCCGTTATCTTTGCCATCAAAATATGACTTTTCCCTATGCATCCTTGCACAGTTAACAGTTCCCCTGTCCCTCCAGTTTCCTTAGTTTAGAGCCCGGAAGGAGTCATCCCAGCCCCTCCTTCTACTTCACCACTTCCACTTGTCATCAATTCTAAAACCATCTTCCTTGGGCCTCCTTCATATCTTGCAATTTAATTTCCTGTCTATATCCCACCGCTGCCTCCTGAGCTCAGGCCGTCATCACATCTCTCCCCCTGCACCTCCTCCTCCCTGGGCTTTCGGCCCCAGGATTGCATGCTCCCAGCCCATTCTCTAGCCAGAGCTTCCCACCTGGCATGCCGCAAGTTACAGATGTGCCAAGCTGGTGGGTCCTTCAGATGCCAAGATGGCCAGGAAGGGCCCCCTGCGTTCACCCCAGTGTGCTGCACAAATACGCCTTATCTATGTGTCTTAAAGTGAGAAAGGTGGTCACACTGGGCCAGAGAATGTGCACTGTCTGTACTAAAATAGCAGAACTCGGATTCAAGGTCAGTCCAGCTCACGCCAACCAGCGTTGGTTGCAAAGTGCATCTAGTGCTGGGCCCTAACAGTGCTCAAGCATTTCAGGGGGTGATGGGATGCATTAAAGCAGTGAACCAGGGCTGTGGAGATGGGAATAAAAGGGAGTGAAGAGATATTTTGCAGTGAAATTAACCTGAAGAAGAAGAATGTCGATGGTGGACTCTGAGGTTTCAAGGATGGAAGGAGGTTGCTGACATTACTCTAGATTGGCACGCAGGAGAGAGCAGCATTTTGGGGTGGGGGTGGGGGCAGGCCTTCATGAGCTGAGTTTGCAGACCATGGAATTCAAAATTCAGAATGGATGGACACTCGTGTGGAAATTCCTAGCAAAGCATCTGAAATTCAGGAAGGAGAGCAAAACGGAAAAGGTCGACGTAAGAGCTGTTTATAAAGAGATGCAACAAGCAGCCAAGCTCCCCGAGAGAGAGCTGAGAGCGAGCCACTGGGGAAACTCTGTATTTAGGGGGTAGTTAGAGAAATGGATCCAGGAAGGGAAGTGAGAAGTGGCCGTCAGGGACACAAGAAGAGACCAGGAGACCACAGGGCTGTGGCAGCTCAGAGTTCCAAGAACAGGAGTATCAACAGCATTAAATATCGTAATAATGTAAGTAGGATGAGCACCAAGAAGAAACTGTGGAATTTAGCTCTCAGAGGTCATAGTAGACCTTCAAAAGAATGATCCCAATAGTTGATGCTGATAGAATCTGGGTCAAGTCAGGTTTACCAAGAAGCGGGTGTCGGGCAGATTAGCTGTGCCAGGAGTTTCTTGGGGAAACTCTTGTGAAGAATAGAGAGACAGGAAGCAGGAGGAGTCAGGGGGCATCCAGGGACCACAACTCGGGTCTGACACCTGTTGGGGTTGGGCAGGAAGAGCCTCAGGCTGTAATGTCCTCCTGAGACGGCTGCAGCGGGACCACGGGAAATCCCTGAGCACACGTGGTCTGTGAGCTAGTCCCCTGCTGGGCAGCGGTGGTCTCCAGGAGGGGACCCTGCCGTGCTCATCCCTGGCTGGGAGCAGCCCAGAGGAAGGGTAGGCTCGGCGTTTGGGGGATGCAGCTGGGGTCATCAGCAATCTGTCGCCCTGCAGCAGGTGTTCCTGGAGGAGACCTGAGGGTCCGTTTCCATGGCACCAGAGAGGCCAAAGTGAGGGGTGTTGGGAGGGAGGTAGAAACACCAGTCCTCTGTTTAACAACTCCTGTAGGCTGGTGTTACCTCTGTACACAGACAGAAGCGACACAGGAGGAGGGTAGCAGGTAGGCAAGGCCTGGTGAGGAGGCCATAGCTGCGGTGTTTTCAGCGCCATCACAGAAACGCATGGCCAAGCGGCTGGCCAGGGGCACGTGGTTTTGTAGGACTGCCAAGACCAGGGCTGGCTCTCCGGGATGCTTTCTTTCCTCAGCATCCCTGGGTCTCTCCTCACACCCTGTGCCCTCCCGGTACCCCCAGTCACGTGCCGGGTTCCGTCTACCCCAGTGTGTACCCAGTGGACACTGTCATTGCCTTTGAGATATATAGATATATTTTTTTCAATTGTGGTGTTTTGAAGACTCTGGCTACCTCCATTTCTCTGGACCAAGGACGACATGGAAGAGCCTAAGGTAATGCACGGTAGGGAAAGCGGGGCCCTTCTACGCCCAGTGGAGAGGTACGGGGACCGTTCTCCCCGTCTTTGTGGTGGGTTCTGCCGAGGCGTCTTGGGAAACGCCCCCGTGCACAGTGGCGTTTGCACCTCTGCACGTGTTTGCCCGATGAAGAGACCAGCTAATTGCTCTCTGTTTGTTTCCAGGTGACCTCATACATTTGCCTCCATACCTTAGAATGGACTTTTTATTGAACCGAGGCGGCCCGGGCACCAGCAGGGACCTGAGTTTAGGACAGGCGTGCCTGGAGCCCCAGAAAAGCCGGACCCTGAAGCGCCCCACGGTCCTCGAGCCCATCCCGATGGAAGCCTCCTCCTCCGCCTCCTCCACGAGGGAAGGGCAGGCGAGGCAGCCGCCGGGGGCCGTGGCCACATTACCTCAGCGAGAGGGGGCAGAGCTGGGGCAGGCAGCTAAAATGAGCAGCTCCCAGGAATCCCTGCTCGACTCTCGGGGCCACTTGAAAGGGAACAACCCCTACGCCAAGTCGTACACCCTGGTATAACAGACAGCATGGCTGGACCGCGGTTTGTAAATACAATTTAAACAATTCAATCAAAGCTACCTTTTTTTTACGGAATTCCAATATTTATAATTAAAGAAAATTGCCAAAATATATTAAAAAAAAAAAAGAGAAAATACTGAAACCACAGACAGTGCAAAGACTCTCCTGCTTTTTTTCTGTCTGAGTGTGAGCTCCATCTGCCTGGGCATCTGATTTTTTGGGAAAGAAGTCCAGTTTTATGATCTCCACAGGCTATTGCATTTTTACTGATTTTCTACCAAGTGCATGGGGGACTCATTCAACCTTCTGACTGGAAGTTCCGTCACACAGGAGTCGCCAGAGAAAACGGGGAGGGGGGCAATGAGCCGGTTTGTGAGTCGAAAAGGAACACTGATTTGGGGGCGGGGGAGACTCCAGTCACATTCGCACACCTTTCTTTCCCATTAGAAACTGGGTCCTCGATTCGATCTTCTTTCGTTGTTAATTAGGATGAGTGCCGTCAGTGAAGGGGTTGGGGGGGGAATCAATTCGGTCTTCTTTTTTTGTTTATTTTTTAATTTAATGAGACACTCTTTGCATTTTGTCTAAGCGAAATAAAAAAGAAAAGGTCGTCTGCCTTTATTTCCATGTCTTGCTTCTCTTGTCTCCTACCGATTTCTGGGTCGTCTCTCCTACTGAGGCTTCTGTTTGGAAACACCAGGCCCGAACCCAGAGCCCAGCTCAGTCCATCCTAGAAGATACTCAGGCCCCGAACCCCTCCGGCATCGCTGGGGAGAGCAAAGAGGGCACCACCTATGCTCTCAGGCCGGAGGTGACAAAACGCGGGGTGGTCTCCGTGGCAATGCAAGGCCGGCCCGAGCCGTCCAAGCCCCCTGCAAGGGTCTGCTCCTTGCCAGCCACAGCCAGGGATCAGCAGACCATGGCCCGTGGGCCAAAGCCAGCCTCCTGGTGTTTTTGTAAATAAAGTTTTATTGGAACAAGGCTGTATGCACTGTTTGCTGTTGTCCGTGGCTGCTTCCGTGCCACCGTGGTGGAGGTGAGTGGTTGCAACGGAGACTGCGTGGCCCACAGAGCCTAAAGTGTTTCCTACCTGGCCCTTCACGGGGAACATTCGCCTGACTCCTGCCCTGGAGTCGCTGAGCCCCAGCTTCAGCCCCGGGTGGAGGACCCTGCGTCCCGCCCTCCCTCCGTGACTTGCTCTGTGTCTGCTGTGACTGGCATCCAAATGTACAATGAGCCATCTTACTACGTGTGGTCTCCACTCGACCCTTGCCCGGTGCACTTTCAAAACAGCTACCGTGTTTCCCCGAAAATAAGACCTACCCATAACATGAACCCTAGCAGGATTTCTAAGCATTTGCGCAATACGAGCCCTACCCCGAAAATAAGCCCTAGTGACGGGCGTGGCTGCGCAGCGCATCTGCACAACCCGTGCATTTCGTCTCGGAGCGGTAAAGACGACGAGCAGCCCTTCTCACCCGGCCCATGGTGACAGCTACTATCCCAGAGGGGACCGGAAAGGAGTGGGCAGCCCCAGCAACAAGGTCGGCTCCCCCTGTCGGGTCCCGGCCATCCTGTGCGTGCTGCAAGCTGAGGCTTTGAGGGGAAAATAACACATCCCCTGAAAATAAGCCCTAGGGTGTCTTCTGGAGGAAAAATAAATATAAGACCCTGTCTTATTCTCGGGGAAACACTGTAGTCACCCTCCCTTGGCCCCAACACCCCATTTCAGGCTCTACCTAAACAGGAAGGATAACCGGGGCTTCCTGTCGGAGATTCGGAAAGTGGACAAGAACCGGCGATCAAATGCCCACCCACATAGTCCGGAGCTAATTACTGCCCTCTCCTAACATACTCAGAAAGCCCTTTCCTTCCCTCCTTCTTTTCCATCATCTCTTCCTTCTACTGGTTTTCCAGGCAGGCCCGTTTTCCTCTTAGGGTCAGTGACACAGAATGAGCCCAGGACCCTGGCAAGACGCCACGCGCGGGCTCCAGCGTTAGGCGGCGCCGTGAGCGTGAGGGGCGCGTCGTTTCTTGCCGTGGTTGCAGAGTTGAACCCAGGAGGACACGCTCGCAAACTCACTGACTGCTTGTTTTGTGCAAAAGAAATGAAACGCTACTTTCTGTTGGGGGGGGGGAACGAAATTAACGCCCTATCTTTCATCAGTCTAAAACGTCATTATTCCCCAAACTTAGAAATTGACCTTTTTAAAATTTTTCTCTCAACTTGTACAAAAATAAAAAAAATTCCACATCCTGTCTGCCTCTGGAATAGATTGCTTTCAAGACGCCTGCCTTAGACACACTCATTCAAGTGGGTTCCACATGCGAGCACTGTATGAGAGAGTCCACCTCTTTATCTCTCAGACTGGAGCCCGGCACTGCTGTCTATGAAGGGGCCCCGGGCTGTAGGTTATAGGGGAACTGTACACTAATAAGATCATTATTATTAAAAGTGATAATAATTAATTTCTTCTGGACCTCTGTCTCTAATCTGGTTTGTTTAGGGGAGATCATCCTATTAGCCCGAGTCTGCAAACAGAATATTTTATCTTAGAATGGTGAAACGCAGACACATTTTCTATCCTCCTGCCAATAGCTGCCAGGTCAGTGGAGGGTCTCCTCCTCAGCGCCCACCCGCTGGCAGCCTGCAAACTGCCACCTTCCCGAAGTGAGCAAGGGGTACACGGCCAGCCAGCCACACGGCACTCGCCGCTCCTACTGTCCCCGGGAGCCTGGTGCTTCTGTTCACCTCGCAGGCCTGCCAGACCACTCCTTCTCACGCCCACATCCTCCCTGGCCACCCAGGAAGAGAAGAAGGTGGAGTAGCTGAGAAGGTAGAGCAGCGACGTGCCATGAAGCTGACCTGCAGCTCGACTGAGCGATCTCTAATTCCACCCGTCGGCTTTGAGCCTTGCTGCGGGGACTCTTGATACTGTCTTAAGGTACACAGAACACAGTTGCCCAAATTGCTCTCGAAATAAACAGCGGATCACCACTCAGTTAAGGTCCCTCTGACCTGGTGCCACGATGCCTGAGTCCCCCCTATGACAGAAGTTTCATGCGATGTTTAAGGGCATGGCTGGGGTCTCCCAGAGAAGCTCTGCACGGCTGTAAGTCAGTTTGCGGCCATGGTGCACGGCTTGTGGGAGCTGGCGTAGGATTAGGAACCCGAGGACTACTTTGTTAAAGGCCACCTACCCTGGAAAGGTTCCAAAGAACCTAACAAATAGTATGTTCATATTTAAAAAGTCTCTTTTAACTTTCTAAAGAATGTGGCCCAGAGAGTATCTCAGCTCTCTGAAGAGCTCCCGGAAAGACTAAATAGCCACAATTTAATCTCAAGGGCTCCTGAGCCTCACCTTGCTTCTCCACCCATTGGTCCAGGATGACCCATCAGACACAGAGTGGAAGCGGTGAGGCTGAGAGGAGGAAAGAGTTTTTTGCAGGTCTTGAAAACCAAGCTGCTGTGATCTCTAATAAGGGCGCACGTCAAGAAGGAATCTTCGGGCTGCATAAAAACTGTTTGCTTAAGCTACGTTTGTTTGTGTGAGAAGACTTGTGATGGCAGAGCCCTTGGGTGTCCTACCAGAGGGCCCTGACACGCAGATGCACTGCAGGGCCGGATGGCAACTGCGGACGGGATCCCAGCTGAGCCCCTCACCCCGGCTAGGTGGGGCAGGAGACTGGATGGGCCTCAGCCTGACCCGGCTCACCCCGAGCCATGGAGCTTAGGAGGGGACACAACTGTTGGAAGGCAATTCCCTGCAGGTCCTTTGCACTTGTACGTGGCTTCTGAGCTGGGGCTTGGGTGGCTTCTGTCTGGACTGTGTTTCCAAGCATGTTTGCGTAGCAAATAGCACTGGAAGGCAGAGATGGTATCTCCCCGCTGGGCAAAAGGCAGATGCTTGCCGACCTGGATAATAAAAACAATGTCTTTCTCGGAGGCAGCGTTCGGGCACGTTTGCCAACAGCCTCCTTTAAAAGTTTCCTAGGCATCAGCCACAGGCGGTCCGGGTTCACACGCTCACTGGTCCCTGACGTCGGGTGCTCCGGGCAGGCTCCCTCCGCCCCTGCCGTCTGCAGCCCCATCTCGTCTCCTTCTCCGTGAGGCCCCTCTGAGCCCCCTGTTTAATACCACAGTCCCCGGCCCCTGCATCCCTGCTCCTCGTATCTGCTCTAGCTCTTTTCCCATACCCTTATCATCTCCTAACTTACTCTATAGTTTACCTATTTATGATGGTTTTTGTCTATTACCTGTCTTCCTTGTCTATAGTGCCAGATCCACAAGGACAGAGCTCACTGTTTGGTCCCCATTCCTAAGACAGCACCATGGGTATAGGCGCCCTATAAGGATTTGTTGACTTGGGGGAACAGTCTGGGGTTTCCTAGGCTTAGAGCTTCTCAGCCTTGATGCAAACCACTTTGTGCACAGCGTCCAGCTGGACCGCTCTGTGTCACCCCGTGTCACCCCGTGTCACCCCAACGGGTCCCGGGGGGAAGGGGAAACTGATGGGAATATGGCACTCAGGCTGAGTGCTGTGTGGTGAGAAACAACGTCTTCACTCTCTGGCTCCGGAGTCTCGTGTCTCCTGCCAGCAGCATCCGTGAGGCTGAGGCAGACTGACCTGGCAACTTGCAAGCCGGGTAAGAGTCTGGTTGTCTGAAGTCCTCCACGATGACAAACTAGGCGGGGCAGCGCCAGCCCCTCCCCACTCTCCAGAAGGTCTAACTGCAGCTTAGACTTGCAAGTGTGACCCACTCACAAATTGTAGGCAGGTCGGTGGGGATGTTATTTTTTTTTTCTTTCTCTCTCCCCAATCTCTCAGAAAGAAAGAAAAACTTAAAAGTTGGAAAGAGTGACTTTGAGCACATGGCAAGGAGGGCCTGTTCCATCTCCCAAGACAAGCTGGGCACAGCCAGAAAGCCCTTGTGTTCCAGAAACTTCAAACCAGGTGTAAGAAGAAAAGACAGCGTTTATTATCTCTAGCACTGGGTCTCCCCGGAGAGGGCTGCGTTCTGCCTGAAGAAGATAATCTTTTTTTTTTTTTTTTTTTGAGACAGAGTCTCACTCTGTTGCCCAGGCTAGAGTGAGTACCGTGGTGTCAGCCTAGCTCACAGCAACCTCAACCAAACTCGCTGGGCCTTCAGCCAATCCTGCGCCCTCAGCCTGCCCCCCAAGTTCGGGACTCAGCAGGCATGCGCCACATGCCCGCTGATTTTTCTATATATTTCATTAGTGGCGCAATTAATTCTTTCTTAATTTATAGTAAGAGCGGGTCTCGCTCTTGCTCCAGGCTGGTTTTGAACTCCTGACCTCGACAGTGCCCCCTCGGCCCCAGAGTGCTAGGATTAGCAGGCGTGAGCCACTGCGCCCGGCCTGAAGAAGACAATCTTTCCAAGGAGAGAAACACCTGGGACATAGATTTCTGCGGGGGGGGCGGAGGTCGGGGATGGACACAGATGTCCTTAGGAGCAGCAGTGCTGGGGCCACCTGCCACCGAAGCTGGGTTCCACGTCCCCACCTGCATCACAGTGAAAGGCGATCCGGCATTTCCAACCACGCTGGGTGTGGGGACGGGGATTCTACCCTCAGGAATTAATTCAGTTGTATTTGCCTT